AATCACATGGCTAATAACTTATAAAAAATTTATTTAAATTTTTATTTTTAAGCCGTGCAATATTTTTGTCCCCCCCCAGTATATATATATATATTTTTAAAACTATTATCATTTAAATAATCGAATTTTGACTTTTTAATGATGATATTATATCATCATATTAATATATTAATAAAATAAACTAATAAAATACTAACAAAATATACATAAATAGTAAATTAAATAATCAATTTATTTGGTTAACATCAACATTTATTTAATTATGTAATTATTTGTCAAGTAGGTTAATTTTTAAGCTGAAATTTACTAGAACTCTAAGAATTTTAATAGTTTTTCAAATTATAATAAAATATAAAATAGAAGAATTTTTTATATAAACTGAACTGATTGAATAATACAACTCTTAAAATGTATTGTGATCCATACAATTGTTTTGATTGATTGATTGATTGATATAAATTAGTTATTATTATTGAATCAGATCATGATTAAAAATACATTTTAATATACAAATAAAATAAAAGTTTAATTTTGATTGCTTCATTAAATACAAACTTTTTCATAAACCTAAAAAACTTGTCGTCAAAATTTTAAAACTTTATCATTCGCCAAATATAATCATAATACTTAATCTTTTATTGGTAACAAGATGAAAAAAAAGAAAATTGCGGATAAGCAACTGAAAATATAAATTCTTTAAATATATTACTTTATTTAATAACCATTTTATTATATTGAAAGTATCTGAAGATATGCAATCTACCAGTAATCAAAGTGTCATACATGATTTACTACGAGAAAAGGATCTACTATGAGTAAAGGTACAGTCCCCAGCAAAAAAAATGGCAGTGCAATCTTTTACTATATAATTAACTTTTTTTTAAATGATTTGTATAAACAATTACATAGTATTTTATATGTATTACTAGTCTGAATTCTATATGTATTGTTTGAAGTTCGCAATGCATATTTTAATATGAATAAAATTTTTGCGATTGTGAAATAAAATTAAATTTGAGTGTTTTATCATTAAAATTAAGATTACAAAAAATTTTTATGTTAACGAGCTTCACCCACTAATAAACAAATATTCAGCTAAATATTCTACAATAGAAATATTATATTCTAACTAAAAAATTAGAAAATAGAAAGCATGAAAGTTAAATTAATATGAAAAAAGGCCAACTTCCTAATTTTTTAGTATTTTAATTTGTATTTAAATCCAGATTGACAGAGAAGGAGAATACTTTTTATATTTTAATTTTTTGAGTGTATAATTTCTTAATCAAAAGCATTTGAGAATAAAAAATTTTTTGTAAGTTATTTATTAAAAATTTTTATTATTCAATAAATACTTTTCGCTATTCTTTTTGCTAGGGACTGTACATAAAATATATTATATAACTTGGTTATTTTTAATAATTACTAATATTATAATATTCTGTTTAAAGATCCTTCAGATAATCCAAAAGATTCCAGTATCACATTTACGAAAAAGATGAAAAAATGCAAACAAAATGATAAATAAGCAGATACTGAAGAAGAATCTATTGAAAAAGAATTCATTGAAAGAGAATCCACCAAAATAGTATCTACTAAAATAGGTAGTAAAAAAGCGGAAAGTTCAATCATAAGTGATACTCTGGTTTCTCTTATGAAAAAGACAAAAACCGCTACCACTATCCTAAAAGACAATATTTTTACTGTACTAAGTAACAGTAGTGATGGTGAGGAAACTGAAGGATATAGTATATGTCATTATTATAGGTTATTTTTTACATATATTTATATATTATTGAATCTAAATTAATAGGAAGTGACGATAAAACACTATTGCAAATACTAACACAGTTTCAACACATGAGCAATGAATTTGAAGCTGCAATATGATTAGCGAATCATTCACGAATCTTAAACCTAGTATTAGAGATCAAAAATGTAAAATCAATACCGATTACTAATGAAGAAAAATTATAAGGTTCACAAGTTTCGAAAATTTTACAATGGTAAGATTCTCAAGTAAAAATTACTCAGGTAATGTAAAGTATAATAAATAATATTATTGCCCAAAAGCTCTTATTTACTGATAGTATTTTTATTTCTATATTTAGTATAAAAAATACCAGTTACAAGAAGAATGTAAGGCACTCTTCTTGCGAACTTAGAATAACACGCAGGAGATTTACAAGGAATTAATAATTCATATTTGTGGTTGTGCAAGAACTGATTATAGAATTAGAATGTTAACTAAAGACTTAGGCAGTTAGTATAACACATACCAGTACAAATTTCATATAAACGTTATAAACCTTACAAATTAATTTATATCATTGTATGAAAGGTTTATATTAGTAATATATGTAACTAATAATTTATTATTAAAATTAACTGAACATTTAATTAAAAATAGTGCAAAGGAACTATATAATAAATTAGACGAATTCATAACTGCTGATATTTAGCAATAATTACTCCAGTTGCATTTAAAAGCAACTGAATAACAAAAGTTAAAAAAAGATAGATTAATTATTGCCAAGCTTAGTATTTTCATTTGACAAACTGTCAAAGCTATAATCAAAGTAATAAAAGATAGAAAAAATACGCAATCTGTAATAAAGAAACTTAATGAATATACAATCAACTTAAAAATAATAACAAAACTCAAAGTAGTTAGATCATTACCAGTTTGAGAATTCTTAAAATTCTTAAAATAATACGAGATACGAAAAGTCAACATTTTTATATTTTATTTCATTATTAAATAATATGACATTTGGAAAAAGATAAAATACTTTGCTTAATATTCACTATTCCTTCACTTTAGAAAAACAATTTTTATTATCAATTTCCTTCATATTCAAAAGCAAATATTC